GTGTGGTGTTGTTTGTAACCTTCTTTCATTGATTGTTCGATCATTAGCTGAGCTAGAATTTGTGATAGTGTAGCAACTTTTTCATACTGACTAAGCGAAAATGCATCGAGACAAGTTTCATTAATTTTCTGTTGTTGATTCACATAATATTGCAATTGATTCATGCAATCTTAATCATAAAAACATTGAAGAGTTGATGGAAGCAGGAATTCAATGATAAAGCATCTGGAATAGAAACTGAATACAATGAATCATATCGCAGTTCTATTCCTATCATAAAAAGCGGTAATGTTGATATATAAAGCTTCAGTGGTACAATTACAGCCCGAGTATATCTTTCTGTAGGTCACTACGTTTGTTACATAAAGTGTTGAGTGGAATTGATAGTTTTTTGTCGTGCAGACAACAATATATTTGCTTGGGTTATTCCACGATTTTTTCATAGGGATAATAATAATAATTCATTAGTTGCTGATATTCTGAATTAGTGAATGAGAGTTTCGATTTGTGATTGAAATAAATTTGAAGTTGTTACCGATGTACTGACATATGTGTTCGAATAGAAAAGAATCAACTTCTCAGAAATGGTTATTTTGACGAGCTCACAGAAAGTTCGTAAAGTTTTGGATGCATAGCCACTAGAAATTCGAAAAGCATAATGATTGAATAGCAGCATGTCAATCCAATTTTTCGTCATGAAAACAGTCGTGCAATCTTGATGTAGTATATAGTGGACATGAAGAAAAATTTCATTGTTGATCGATATCTCACTATACAAGCATGACATGCTGGTTCAGTATCTCAAGTTGAATTGTGAATATCGTTCGAGTGTTGGCCGTTCGAGAGTGATAGTTTTGGTAATGCGGTTACGAGCGAAATGCAGACCATGAAAATGATTAATGCATATCTTAATAATATAATGAACATGGCTATAAGAAGAAAACAACTTCTACTGAAAAAATTCAAATTTTCCAAAGTTGAGAAGGTCATTTCTGTTTTCGTATTTCTAATAGCTTGAAACCTAGTTCATGAAGCTTGGTTTGAGCTCATTCTATGCTTCATTTTTTGTAGCTCCAGGGCAAAGAGGTATGGTGTAAAACGATAGAATCCGGTTACAGCATATGACATAAGGATACGATTTGTCATCGGTCCTTGTCAAACTAATGACGAAATTAACTTCTACTTGATGAGTCTTGTAATAATTAGGTACTGTTTCTATGAGGATAGTCTTGTATTTACCTCTTGTACAAATATACTACGGAAAATACACACAAAGACAATGTTATGATTAATGACAACTGCTTAAGAAATCGTTCAAATCTATAGGACAACCCACTTTTTCCAACGATTTATTGTGTCAAAAACTTCCATCAACAATTTTTTTCAATCTTCAATTGAGGAAAACATTTAATTTTCTCAATAATTTAGTGACAGGGTGTGGATCGGAGTCTTCCTCTTATCAGCAACCCATACCCTCACCGACATACCGTTTGATTATATGTAGAAGGATCAATGTGCATGTATGTAGAGAAGAGAAAAGATAGTCATAAGTCTTATTCGTTGCGGACGAAAGTACGAGTGAGATGAGATGATTTTTTTGTATATTCATACAAGTCTTTTTGTAGATTTCTCAAGTATCGATATATGACTTTATGACCATGATTTCTGTTAAACCAAGAAATCACTACTCATCAATTTGATGTTTCAAATCCATTGATACCTGATTTTTGAGAACGAAGATAAGAATATTCTTTTCTATTGAACAGAATAGTATCTATTTTTAATTAAAACTACAGTGGTGATTGTAGTTGTTTATTGTACATGCAATAGCCTTTAGAATCGCTGAATCTATATTTCATATTTCATATTTCGTAGATAGTCGTGTTGACATTGGGAAGTGGCTATCATCTTTTCTTTGCATATCCATAGATGTCTTCTATGATTTTGTGAATGACGTATGTTGCCTTGACAACGATGACTTACAAATTATAGACTATCGTTCATTTTACGATTCAGCTCTACTGATAGTCGATTCCAACGACAAAGTTAAGAACTTGTTTTTATTTAAACACAAAATACTATTTGTTTCTTCATCCTATAACTAACAGTAGCCATAAACTTTTTTACATTAGTTTTCATAATGGCTGAACGTTTTTTTTTTAAACATAAATGGATACTTGCATCGAAGGAGAGAAGGTAGCGACAAATTGTTTCTATTGATAGATAAGATAATATCTGTTTCTTGATTGGACAACACGCTATTTCAATAGTTTTCTCTTCATATCTTTTAGTAATTAACGAGCATTTTTTAAACCTACCTGGATGCTTTCATTAAAGAAAGCTAACAACATGTTTTTCATATTAATGGAGAAAATAATATATTTCTTAATTAGCTGATCAGCCGTCTCATTAATCTCTTGTTTATTCATTCGTATTACTGCTGAAGATATTTCTAACTCACCTGTATAACCGTGTAGAACGATGAAGGTAAAAATATTTTCTTTTTCTATCGATAGATGAAAAAGCATCTCTTTTCGATTTATGTATTCAGTTGTCACACATGTCTTATACGTACGCCTTGGCAATTACGTATTGTATATTTCAAAGTGATTTTGCATGCATGTAAAACTACGATCATAAAAATATTTTTATCATATCGATAGACAGCGTTGTATCTATTTCTAGTATATGAATATGACGACCTAAAGGATATAGATTGTATAAGGAGTATTTGGAATTACACACATATATATATATGCGAATAATTCTAAATATTTCATATACTCTCTAGTCTCCTATCCAAAACCCAAAAAGGTAAACATATATATCATCTTTTTTTCTAAATAAAGGGCTAGAATGTATAGGGCTCTTTAGAATTATTTATATATTTATAAAGAATAATTCTAAATACTTTCTATAAAAATAGTTTTCCTATGCAAAAGAGGGGTATGTACATCTATAAGTTATCATTTATATGAGATATACCAAAAGTCCGGTGCACAAAGAAGCGTGCGTGTCTCTTTTACTGTTTTACGCGATTTATGTAAGGTTTTTATAGTTTCATTTCATATTCATTGAGAAAATATCTGTAAAAACATCATATTCAAGTTTATTTTGAAATCTAGTTGATAGTATAACGGATGTTCTTTTTTAACGAAACTGTGTCTTTTGGTCGATGTCTTTTACAAAATTATTTTATACATGTTCTTATAAAAAAAACCTTGAGTCAAATCAGCTTAGTTAACTGTGATGCCGATTGAAACGTACTGCTACTTCTATGGCACTTGCTTGTAGAAATATTCTTCACAACTTTACAAATTTCGTGGCTAAAATACGTAGAAATTCTCTCTTTATGAAGTAGTATAGAGTTCATGTAGCACAATCTTCTTATTTCTTGACTAAAAAAATAGGTTAAAGCATAGTAAAACATTTTTCTCATATTTATAATATTTCCATTTTAAAAATATGTTCAAAGACTTGATTTTTTTAACATTACACAGCAAACGTTTCTTTTGCAATATTGCATAATATTGTCAAGAGCTTCGTGCATTCATGACTAATGCTAAAGATTTCCTTAAGTTGACAATGAAAATCCATAATAAGATTAAAAAAAAAGATTGTAAAATAAATTTTATGTGAAGTTGCTACAGATATTTTCAAAAACGATAAGCATGTGTGTTCTATTTGTGAGTGATTACTTTGTCTATCTATTAGAGAGAAATTTATGTGAAATAAAATTTCAACGAATATGAAGTGAAAGTATAAAAACTTCACGTAAGCAGCCTAAATGATCAAAGAGAGATATTCAAGTTTCTTTTTTTTTGACCGGACTTTCAGAACATGCCGTATATATAGTAGGTATGTGACTGTGGATGTGAGTGTAAGTCTCGATGAAAAACTCCTCATTGGTTCATACTCACACCCAACATTCATAAAATATGTTTGTTTATTTGTTAGATTTGGTATCGGTTTCATTATTGTTTACCTGTAGGAATAGTTACCCAATGGATTGATAGCATTCATTACAAGTATATTTCCTTAGTACCTTTACACTGTTAGTGTCATCTCCTATGTATGTTTTAAATGTTTTGTTCCAGCGTCTAACTTTCGTAACTTCAAATTGTAGGAATCTTTGTTTTTTTGCTATTTTTATTTTCGATATTTCTATTTTCGACGGTATTTAGATAATCCGCTTTTATCCTGAAATAAGACTCGGCTCCATAGATGTGTAATATGGAGTCTTTTCCTTACTTTATTTCTTTGTAGATTACTATCAAGTAAAAACAGACAAAAAATAATAAGAATAACAATAATAATAAAAAGTTATCGAAAAAAACAAACAGCAACTTTTGTCTTTGGAAACGTTGCTGATCTGTATAAAGATAGCATCTTGATTTGCTAACAGTAGTCAGTTTCTCTTACATTCACCTTCATCTAATTGACTGATGGCGAGAGAGCGAGCTGGTAGCGTGTCCTGTCATTTGCCTTGTGATAAGCCATCCGTGGCCATTTGCGTTGCTTGTAATAACCATTTTTGCTGGGATCATTTTTGTGAGCATCGTCAAACCTATGAGAAATACCTAGATGATGCTCGGAATCATCAACAACCTTTATCAAAATGTTTACTCGAATATGAACACCTTGAAAACAAACATCGTTCGACTATTGACAGTTGGGAGCGCCAAGCAATCGAAGATATTCATCAAACAGCCGACGATGCCAGAAGAATACTTGAAAATCATATAAAAAATTATCGATTTCATTTCGAGGAAGAATCATCGATGATCACAAATAGCAGATCAACTAATCAACATGCTCAATTAGTTCAATTGGAAAAATTACAAAATGAATATGGTCATTCATTAGAAAACATTCATATCGTTCAACATTCTGATCGAAGACGTATGTTGGAAATTGAAACGACAAGTCCAATAAAAGAAAGCTTCTCATCAGATCCATGGAAGGAAGTATCATTCATTTGTAGTCCCGACATGCCCAAGACAAGATTAGGCAAACGGTTCATCGAGAAACCTTTAGCAGAAACCTCTGTGGGTAATTATTGGGCAATAGGTGCCTCAGATGAATATTTACTTGCACAAGAATATGAAAATAAACAATTGACA